GATATTGTCCAAAGTTTAGTGTTTAGCGTTTGCGGCTGTGGTGTCATTTGAACGGTGTTGGAACCTCGGAGAAAACCCAGCTGTTGTAAACGTATAGTGTCTTGCGCATGAGAGCCCTAAAATACAGGCTAGCTGAAAGTCCTTCTTGACTGAGTTGATAAACGGAGGAATAATGAGAAACCTTGCACTAGAGCTACTAGAGATACAGGCTGACTCGTCAGCCATTTTGAATCTAAGCTTTAGGGTTGCAATTTAGTGTGTGAGCGGCAACTTTGGCTCTTTAGCGCTGTCCGCTAAAATTTAACATTCTAGAGAATCCGAATTTTCAGCTTTTTTCTGCACTCCTATAAAGATTGTGGCTTTTTCCCCTTTCTTTTGTCTGCAGTACAGATTCTTTCTCGTATTTTTTTTTTTTAAATTGCCAAATTTCTCGTATGATTCAAGTTATTTTAAAAGTTTCTAAAACATTTTCACATATCATATTTCAAATTTGTATTTTTAGTATTAATACAATTTGCCAAATTTGTATTTTTATGCTTTCTTTTTGAATTCCTTTATTGAATTTTCAATTTTTTCTTTTAAATACACGCATAATGTTATTTATCTCAAAATGTATTTTTGACAAGAGCTTTCCCTCAACCACATTCTTAATATGGTTGAGGGAAATCCCTCAACCTCCATTAATTTAGGATAAGGTTTAATCTTTAATTTTTGTTTTTTATTTTTAATATGTTATTTGAATTTTGCTCACATGGAATCAAGCGTCTATTACTGTAGCAAATTTGTTAAAAATGTTATTTTGTGTGTGTTTCCAGAAAAAAGCTGCTAAACACTTTATGATTTTAAATACTGATTCAAGATTACACCTTTAAATTATAACGCTTTAGAATGAAGTTGCAGAATGCTATAAAAAATTACTTCAATGCTCAGAATGACTGTGGGATTCATAGATTTAATAGAGTAAAAAAATTCCATTTTTTTTTTCTTTATTTAGCTATAAAACAATATAAAATAATACACACACAAATAAATAAAAAATAAAAATAATACCTTTACATACAGAATTTACAGATACTATTTACTTATAAGTTTATTGTTGTGATGGTCTTTTATTATTATCTTGGAAAAATTATACTTACATACATATGCTCTTAATATTACACGTATCTGAATATTTAAATTGATAATTCCATAACATAATAAGATTCAATCTATATCACAGCAAAGACAATACTTAAATCACAGTTCTTTTTATTAATTAATTTGCATAAGTAAAAACATAAAAAAATATTATTTAGCTTCAAATCTATAAAATAAGTCCTCTAGTAACAAACATATGACAAACACATATAGTGAAAATAAAGATAAATAAATAAAAATGTTTTGCTTTTTGGTCTAATGTAGTGCAATTCAGTCTATTATATTCAAATTTTATTAAAACATACTGCAGTAATTGAATTTTTTCCATTATACATCAACAGCTTTATATAGAATGATTTAATAGTTTAACTTTTTAAAAATAATATAATATAATTAATTCTCATTTAATGCGGAGATGTTTGCATAAATTGCAAAAAACACATGCCCTGGGACACAGTTCATTTGGGGCTAGCAGAGAAACCACGATATGGGCTGCCCAAACCCAGACAGAACCCCCGCCATGTTTCACTCTTGGCAACAAACAGTCTGTATTATAGGCTTGAGATGGCGTTCTCCAGACGTAAAACTCGGCTAGAAGTGGGAAACAATGTGAAAGAAGACTCGTCAGACCATATTACTCGCTTCCACTGCTCTATAGTCCAGGCTTATGATTTAAACACCACCTTTTTCCTGTTACGGGCATTAGCGTCACTGATGAGTGGCTTCTCAATTGCAGCACGGCCCAGCAATTCCCTGTTTATGAAGCTCCCTTCTAATTGTTTTGGTACTCACAGGGTTCGGTAACACAACATTCATTTCAGCAGTAACTTTTGCAGCTGTGGTCTTCTTATTTTTCGTCACAATTGCCCTTAATGATCGTCTGTCACGATCACTCAGGACACACTTTCGTCCGCCCTGTGATTTAGCAGATGATGTTTTTCCGCTTTTCAAATATGCGGAATAAATCTTCGATACAGTACCTCTTGAAACACTAAACACCTCGGCTACCTTGCTTACGGAAGCACCTACCATACGTGCTCCAACAATTTTGCCCACGTTCGAAGTCTGTTAACTCTGACATAATGCAATGACAACCTCACATAAATAGTACTCCGACAACAACTGAACTGTTTAGCACATTTACGAAGTTGTATAGGTGGCGTCAGTAGTCAAAAAACGCCAGCGCCACCTACATTTCATTAAAATCAATCTTTCTTTTCAAACATGCATTTCACAAGGTGTTTCCATATTTTTGTCCATCCACTGTATCTCATTGATATATTATAAATATAGCTTAAACATGTTTTATGTGCATACCCAAAGGGGGGGGGGAAGTAAGCCTTGATTCAAAATCTGTTTTAAAGCAATAAGTAAATAAATAAAATACACTGGTTCTATTAGAATGTCAAAAAATACTGTTATGTATTCTATAAACAAATCCAAATTATCACATCATACTATATAACCCTGGTACAAAGAAGAAATGTCTGATTAGGAACATACTCTATTTATTTGGTAAAAAAGAAGAGTAAAACATATGCAACATCCCATTATGAAAAATCCTGCAAGCCATTACAATACTATAAGACATTGATTAGTAAGGTAAACATCAGTTGATCATTCTTTCACACAACAGCAATAAATGTTTCATTTAAAATTCCTAATAACATGCCAAAACAGATTCACAATTGATGCCTCATTTAAGGTCACACAAAAGTAAATCCGATTTAGCTGACTATGAGATCTTCTATTGTAGAGGACTTTCTAAGGAGAACTGGCTTGTATTCACATTACACATGGGGAAAAACCACAAAAAAACCAACCATGCAGCCAGCCTGTTCGGAAATAGAACAGAAGATGGAACTCCCAGCATTCAGTAACTTTAACCATTCAGCTGTTGGTGGGCCTAATTATTATTCGAAGAGACAAACAGCAATTTTTCAGTGACAACTACTCTACTTTTTTACAGACAGAACTGAACAGCAAAAACTTCTTAAACTCTTGATTAGATTCTAGTTTACTTTCTTCCTTTTAAAAGCAGGAGATGCAAAACTTTGCCGCTGCTGCCTTTTATTTTGAAGAAGCTTCTTGAGACCAATTCCCACGGGCAGTCAAATAATATTTTATTATCTTTGTTTTGATATTGCAACAGGAGGGAATATTTACCTCGCCTGCTTTCTTACAAATCATATTAACAAATTCCACATCCATAGTTACATTTCCATGTATTATTTCGTCTCGAAAATTTTGAATTATTATTTTTCACACAGAAGGCACAATTTAAAAATTTCTGGAGAAGGACATTTAAGCCCACCTAAATTTGCAAAATTAATTATGTACTGCTTATTTTCATCAATGGAAGGAGTATTTTGCTCACAAACTAAGAGAAAAACTGTGAGCATGAATTACAAGCATTTTTCAAAACAGAATTATTGCAGCTCCTGCAATATAACAGACGTTATTTTCCTCACTAAGGGTGAGATTCTGTAGAGAGATACATCAGAAACTTCTGGTATGGTAACAGGCTCTAAAGCTTTTTTCTCCTTCAGAAATTCAAATTCATCTTTCGCATAGTTTAATAAGTAATAAATATCTGAATCAGTAGCATAACTGGAGTTCTTAATGTCAGATATAAACTGAGATAAACAGATAAGCTTTAATGCTTTCACAGCTTGCAAAGCACTTGGCCTCAAACCAGCTTTTCTGCGTATCTGAGAAAAATACATTTTCTAGAGCATCTTGTGTCAATCTGCTCGTCAAAATAAACTGAAAATCATTCAGAAAAAACATGCCTCTGCTAACTGTATGGCTGATAAAGTAGAAAGAATCAAACCAGTATGTAATGGTTTCCACCCTTTACCAATTTCTATAAGCTGTATAACATTAATAAATTCAAAAAGTAACTCAATTTTTTGCTTTTATTTGTCACAGAAATTGAGTTCTTTCTACATCTAGAGGATAGCATTTGAAACCACTGACATATAAATCTTATCCACCATGCTGTTGTAAGAGCATTAGGGCTTATCTCTTTTAAAGCTACTGCCTTCTCCAATCCCACAGCTGTTTTAATTGAAAAAAACCTCACAGCAGAAGCAACATTCATTTTATCAAAATGTGAGGGGAAGAGGTCTTCTTTGCTGAGATGATGCATAGTTCTCAAACCACAATTTTGGTTTGTTTCAGTAATCCAGATATCTTTTATAAATCCTGCAGATACATGCAAAGTAACCAAAATTTTCTTTATTGCAAACATAACTGGGCAGACAGTTTTATACTATGATTAAGAGTTGCAGACCAGAGATTTTTTAAAAGATGTGGCACATCTGCAAATACATAAATAATTTTGCCCTTAATTTCAGTAGTGAAATTATTTCTTTGGTTTCGAGAAACAGATATTCCCAAAGAATTCCACAGGCTTCTATTTACTGCTGCCATATCGCTATATCGCTAACAATACCAAGCAACATTAAATCCAACAGAATTGACAGCTTCTTCGATAACATTGACAACAAGTTGTTTGAGCTGGCATCCTGTTACCTGTCCAGTTATCTCATGGGCAACCACTTGCTTCCATTTCAGCTTCAAACCTCTTAGTAAAATAACTAAATAGTGATTTCCTGCACCCTTTTGATTTCCTAATGTACATTTACCAATAAATTTACGTTTTGAAATATCAATATCAAAATCAGGATTGCCAGAAATCTCCATTTCATCCAATGATAAAATACAGTCTTTATCACTAGCATTCATTTTTTTCTCCTTTAATTTTCAAAGGTTCAATCATCTCACTGATGACTCCAAAATTCATTTCAAGACCTTGAAGTCTTTTATTTAAAGTGCTGTATGAAGGCACGGAAAACCTATTCTGTGCAAGTAATTATAACCATGCTTGCCCAAGGCAAATCAAATCTAACTTTGAGGCCTTTTATTATTCCCTCGTTAGACCATTTTGCAATGCTTCTACGAGGAATTTTCAACATTGCTATTTGTTCATCTGAAAGAAATGTTTTCACTCCTTTCAGCAATTCCTCATGCTGTACTTGAAGGTCATGAAGTTGAATTTCAGTGCTATGCCATTTTTTTAAAACATTAATTTCATTTTTTTTGGTTGCTGTAAGTTCTTTCAGTAATATTTTGTTCTGGCATTGCAGAAGCGAGATCAATTCAGTCTGCTGTTTTATAAAAATTCCTTAAAAGAACATCCTGGAATAAAGAAAAAATCTATATGAATAATCATCAAAGAAGGGGGGGGGGGGAACACAACAAACAAACAAAAAAGATCTGAAAGGTTTCAGATTTTAAATTACACCCAAAGGGGCTTTTTTTAACATTTTGTGTTTTACCTTTATTTATTAAATATCAAGTTTTTCACACTTAAACTATAAAATTCAGTTCAACAGCAATATTGCAAGATAATTTTAAAATGAAATGAACATATCTTCAGAATTCCCGATTCATTGTCTCACACGCTGGAGATAAAAAGTGTCTTTTCTGTACAACATTGCCATTGCTCGCTTTGAAATCCTCAAGTTTGTTAATCAAAAATTCGTTAAAGTTTTACAACATATAAAATATATATTAAAACAAATTCCGAATTTCAAGTTCGGTCTTCCAGATGTCCATATTCACAGTAGAATTAAGTCATTCAAAATTTGATGGCTCTAGGTACTGTTGTTTTATCAGAATGCAAAAAAACATACATGCATTTATGCAGATTCTTCACTATATAATTTCTTTAAATATAGTACAGGGTGATAATATTTGGTGGCAACAATTTGAAAAGTGATGCAGCCGTTTTTTAGTGTTTATAGTGTTTCAATACAAAACGAAAACAATAGTCCTTCAGGGACAAAGCCCCTTTGGATTAAATGTCAAACTTAAACAGATAATAAATCCACAAAATAAAAATGCAAGTTCCAGGTCTCTTTTCCTATACTGTGGTGGGTTTTTTAAATTTGACTCTATTGTTTTCAGCATTTTCTAGATTATTTTTGTTTTATTTTCTAATATTTAAAATTTATTTCACTTAAAAATAGATTTTTAAAATTTATTTCCAGCTTTTCAAGGGATCGATTATCTCCATAATCATGAGCAATTTAATAACACAAATTATCAACTTTATATCACAGCCTTCACAAATGCTGATGAAATTAATTAAAATTAATTACAATTTGGTTGCAAGATGAATCTAAAGGTTGTTTTTGCAAACAAAACTGAAATTTACATAGAGAATTTGCAACTATTGATGAAATTAATTACATTCCTTTTACCAAAAAATTACTTTATAGAACATTTTAAATGCATATAAGGAAGTAATTTAATTATACATTAGTTATCAACTTACATCAGAGCCTTCACAAATAGATGGTATTTCATTGCAAAATGAGGCTAAAGGCTGTTCTTGCAAACAAAAACTGAAATGTACACAAAGAATTTGTAAATGCTGATGAAATTAATTACATTCCTTTTACCCCCCCCCAAAAAAAAGTTAATAGAAACGTTTTGTATAAGCAAGCAATTTAATAATACACTAATTATCTTACATGAGATCCTTCACAAATAGATGGCATTTTATCATTTTATCACAAGATGAAGTTGAAGCTTGTTCTTGCAAACAAACCTGAAAATATATATATAAGAAATTTAGAAATACAGATAATATAAACTACATTCATTTTAAGAAATAATTATTTTACATAACATTTTATAATTCATAAATAGATAATAAATTGTTAACACTCAAAATTCAAAAATAATTCCATAGCACAACAGCCAGATATAGTACAGCTGTTTAGCAACCATAAGACAAACAATTTCATATTTCAGAAATCGTATAAAAATTCATTAATATATGTAAAACATATGACATTTAATAGCTGCTCAAATGAAAACATAGAATAGATTCTTTACTAGCAGCTGTTATTTAATCAGAAGGTAATGCTAAATGTTGTTGCAAACACACCTGAGATGTACTGTAATGTACACATTTGCAACCACTGGTGAAATGAAATAAAGTGCATGATTATGAAGATGGAAACATTTAAAAAAAACATAGTACAGTTTACGAATAGATGTTAAAAAACTATTAAATTTTTTTAGAAGTGCAAAATGGCAATTTACATCAGATACTTCGGCAGCAAAATTTATTTCTCCAAAATATGAAGCTGAAGGTTGTGGCAAATGAACCTAAAAGAAATTATAATATATGAAATATGTGGAAGTGAAAGAAAAGAAATTATAAACTCTGATCGGATAAAAATAAATACAAATAATCATTACCATTTTCAAAGTAACTCAACTTATAAAAAAGCATAAATACATTGGACTGTTCATAGCATTCATACTTCTTAAACATAAGTAAATATTACGTTAATATATTTTTTAATTTTAGAAACAGTGTTAATACTTTTTAGAAAAAGTTTATAATACTAAATATTTAATAACTGTTCAAATGAAGACTTACAACAGATGGTTCAGCAACAGAAATCGCTTCAGTTGATAAAGGTAAACCGTGCAGCAAGCCACCCTGAAGATGCAAAAATTATGAAACACATATAAGTAAGGATACCTGAAAATGCTGATAAATAAAATATACTTAATGTAATTTTAATAATAAATAATATAAATAATCCTAATAAGTTTTGTAAATCTTTAAACAAAAAAAATAACAACATTCAGACAAGACATATAAGACATTAAAATATACATTTAAATCAATGTATTATAACTATATATTATTGTATTACTCAAGATTAAAGTTATTAATTTCAATATTATTTCTTTACTTACTCCATACATATTTCTCTCTATTTATCTGGAATTTAAAATTAAGCAAAAAAGCAACTTTAGTTTAATACAAATTTTGATTTAAACTCTTTTGACTTTGAAGGCAATCAGATACCGGTTTCTTTCTTTTAGGAGCAAATTTGAAGAAACCAGACCCATGTATGACCGTCCTCGAAAAACTACAAAAAACTTTATCCAAAAACTACATCAAATTGAGGTTTTATGCTTAATTTTCAATATATGATTATAATAACAAAGTACATACTTAATTATATATATAACAACAGCAAAATTTTAATTTTTTAATCTAATCTTAGGGACTGTAATTACAGCTTTATCACATAATGCCTTAATTTCAATATTTTGATTCTTTTATAAAGCAATTTAGTCCATTTGTAATAAAAAACATATTTTTTTTATGAAAAACCATAAAATAAAAATAAAAAACACATACATTACAAAAATTGGATGTAACTGAACGGTGCTTTGGTAAACCAATGCCTTTTAGACGCTGTGGGGTCAACAGTTGTGGGGGATTAGGCACATTGAAAAGAGTTGGCACAGCATTGGGCTTGAGTTTTTTACGCCCATCTTGCCTAGAGCATTCAAATTGATTTTCTTCAAAATGTACCTGCATATTTAACAAAAGCATGCATGAAATTTAACATTAAAATCAAAAGCACTAGTATTAAATTACAGTTACATATATTATAATAATTTAAGAATGTAATTTTCTGATAAATTTAAAATTTTTTTATGAAAATAGAACAAAATTTTTAAAAAGTAATCATGTTTGTAAAACTACTTAAAACATATTTCCTGCTCACACACTAAAAATAAATTTAAAGTACCTATAGTTAAAAATACAACATTAAGATTTACTACTACAATAAAGGATAATAATGGGATCAAAACGATTCATCGAATATTTAAATTAATATTTAACTTCTTAAAAATGTCTAAAAATACAGAATATATTTATCTTACTATAAAGAAAAAACAAAATCATTTATTATTTGGATCATACCATCCAGTTTTTAACATTGGCGCCAACTATCCGATTTGGCGACAATACATCAGAATCAAACAAAACATAGAATGCTACTTTAAATCACCAATCGTACAGTAAAATTAAAGAAAAGAAAAAGGCACATCACATTTCTAACTGAGCACAAAGTTTACATGAAATGTATGATATAAATTTTACAAACGGTATAAACTTTTCACGATAACAAAAGAAACAACATGAAACAACGATATTTTACTGCACAAACACATACACATTCCGCAGTTGATTTTGTACTTATAAAATCAGTTGATCGTCAATAAGTGACAGTTAAATGAAAATAAATATTTTAAAGTACCAAGAAGAGTAATTTTTCTAACATTCTATGGAAAAATACGAAGCTGAACTTACCTCACAAAGATACGCTCCTGGGCCCGGGATCCATTGATCTCGACGAGAATTAACTATCCATTTTCTTCGTCTTTCTTCATTTCTAGGGAAACGAAACATCCTAAAGTTATTTTTAGACTGATTCGAACAATTTGGTGCAGCACAACCACCCATTTTTCT